TTTAAATATATTTATTTTAACAATCATTGTAATAAAAGCAAAATATTCCATTTGTACCACTACAGTGGTTAATCTAGCCTTGAAAATTATGTGATATGTCACGACCTTGATATTTCAATAACTTTTTCAGTAATCCTATGTAGTTTTCCCTCCATTTGTGAAATAAACCTTTGATTTAATTTGTAAACTTTGTTATGTAACACTGATAACTTCACCGTTATGTCTAATAGTTTTTTATAATTTCTACAAATATATTGATAATTAGGCTTGCTTCTAATGAAGGCTTTTTCACAGTCTGTCAAAATACTCAAATCTAGAAGTTGTCCTTGACTTTCAAAATGCAATTTTTCCTTCGTAAGATTCTTTCGTTGTGCTTTTCTTTGTTTCAATGTATCTATCCATTCCTCTCTTTCATTTTTTAAGCACATTATGTACTCTTTCAAATTAAAATTTTCCTCTTGTAATACTTCGGACGTATTTTTCACAGCGTCAACAGCTTTTGCAGTCTCTCCAAATGATACACCTTTAATTTAAAAGAGATCAATTGATAGAAAAAATAAAGAAACATTTATGTTTATGCTTTTCGTTAGAAGAGATCATATTGAAAAGCAATATTATTCGAAATTATTTATAGGTTATGATGTATCATCTCGAAGAAAGTAATAAATAAACTAACCTTCACATTCGTTAAATGTAGACGCACGACTCTGAAAGACAGAAGACCGACGTTTACGAATAACTTTTTCATTTGAATCTTTCTCTCCATTTGGAACATCTGATGAATGCAAATTATCCATTCTATTAACACAATTGTTATACAGGAAAGATTCACATGCCAGAACGTGCCGGTAAATTTTAAACGAACCAATCACAGTGCGTCACTGAATTTGGCTCAACATTATAAAACTGTATAAAAATGATATAAAATTCTCCTTTGTCATTTTGTATTTTACACTCTATTTCAAAATATCACATGTATATATATATATATATATCGTACACACACAAACAACACACACACACACACACACACAAAACATATATATATGATGCAAGTACATATATGTATAGACACTAGACAATTATTAATCCTCTATGTAAATGGGTATCTAGATATCCATACGTTAATATATTGTAATTAAATTTTTAATAATATATGTTCATATGATTTTTTATGGCACTGGAAAATTATAAAAGAAAATATACAATATACTATCAAGGGTCATCACCCAACGTGTCAATTTTGATAATATTTTGCATTACATATGTATGTATGTCGTACTACTTAATTAGAAATTTGACATTGCAATGACGTATTAGTGTTTTAACGTTTTATTAGTAAAAAAATAAATCTCAGAAATTATACTTTAATTGAAAATAGAAAATGCTTATTTGCATTTTATGGTAAAGTTTTGAACCCTCCAGAAATTTCTACCGACTGTGCAGTCTCACAATTTGTAAAACGTTTACAGTTGATACTCGATCGTTGAGACGGTTAAATCACGTATCGTAGGCAAAACAGGAACTTTAAAATTCTTATAATTTTAGTATTACTACTAAAAAAAAAATAATCAAATAGTGAATTTCTTCTTTCTTATCGTAAAACATTTATAAATTATATTTGTGGTTACTTTTAAATAAAGCAATGTCGACGAAAGCTGACGAGGTAAGTAGACAAGTTCTCTTACTCTTACCCTTACTCTACTGTATTATTAATAAAAATAACGATATAATTCTCTTATAATAAAATAAACATTGTATTCATGTAAAAGGGCAGAATATTGATAAATTGGTGTATTAATAAATTACATAAAATGATACTTGTAACTCGAGTTATATTTGTGTTTGTTCTGCATTTTAAATATTACGCTTTTACGGCACAGAAGATAACTGTTTTAAAAAGCAAAAGGGATGATCTTTTTCGTCTTTTGCAGTTAAAATTGGATATCGAAGAATTCAACAGTTTACTTCGGCAAGCGAGTCGTCAAAAATGTAAAGATGTCCTCAGTCTTGAAATTAGAAGGTTACAAACTGAGTTGGCAAAATTAACTGAGGAAAACAAAATATTATCCATAAAATCAACTAATGTTGAATCGAATTCTTCTCAAAAGTGTTATGAAGTTAAACTTAATAACTATGGTTGGGATCAAACAAGTACTATAGTGAAGTTATACATCTCATTGAAAGATGTACATCAACTGCCTAAAGAAGCTGTGATTTGTGACTTTACTGAAAACTCTTTAGACCTTCGTGTTCTTGGATTGGATAATAAAAATTATAATTTAACAATCAATAATTTTTGTGAAGACATTGATATAAATAACAGCAATGTTAAAACTAAAACAGATATGGTGGTTATATCTCTTGCCAAAAAAGTTGCAAAGAATTGGTCACATGTAACAGGGATAGAAAAAAGAATCACAGAATCAAAATCATCTTTAGGTCCAGATATAAGTGAAGATAATGATCCTGGTACTAGTTTGATGAGTTTGATGAATTTAATGAAGAAGATGTATCAAGAAGGAGACGATGAATTGAAGAAGACAATGAACCAAGCATGGGCAAAAAGTCAACAAAAAGGAGCACCAGGATTTTCAGACTTTCCTTAATTTTATGTGTATAGATACTTAAGATTATTATTTCATAGGCTATCAATGTATAAAATAAACTTAAATGTAAAACTA